CGGTAGTTGATTATGAATTGATGCACGTAGAGCTCATTTTCCTGCACCCCGGTGTTAATGCTCTGCCCGTGGTCAAGGCCTAACCTTCACATGATCGTTCACCTCTAGCACCGCACACTCAGCTTGGATCCAAATCAGGTGCTAGCCTGTCGTACAGACCACATTAGGTGGTTCCGACTCGTAGGTGACTTGTGATTCGTCGCACAGCCTTCATGTGATCGTAGCACTTAAGCGTATTTATTTACACTCAGCCTGTCGTATAGACCACATTAGGTGGTTCCGACTCGTGTGCAGGTTTAGTGTCGTACAGGTCACATTAGGTGACTCTGGCTGGATTGATGAGTAATAGGTTCAACCGTACAGATCACATTAGGTGACTCCAGCTGGCATATCACTTTTACATTGATTTATGTCACCTGGCTTACATATTTACTGCTGAGATAGTGACATGGCATGTACTTGGTTTTCGTTACTCTCAAGCTTGATTTTTATAAATACATATATATTACTATTTTCTGGGAAATTATACGGGTTTTACAGTAGGGGTTATTACTTTTGGAAAGAGAAATGGTTTTTAAAAGCTTTGTTTTTGCCCACTCACATTTTCTGTTTTGCGCCCCTCCAGGTTCTAGTTAGACGTTCGTGTTGGTGGCTCACGAGGACTCTACGGCGATTCTGACAAACTCCAAACAATGTAAGGTTTCCTTCACATCCTGTATAATTAACACTTGTTGGATTGCACGTTGTCTATGCTCTTATGATGTGTATCCGTGCTTTAAACATCTTCACTCACACTTATATACTTACCTAGTGTAAATTAGCTAGTTTGGTTTTTATTTACTCACATATTCGTATCACTATCACTTTCGCACTGTGCACATGGCTACGTCACCCTCACATAACGGCCAGCATGCCTTGATTTAGGTCGGTGTGTCATATTTAGTTCTTTAATTATAAATGAACATAAATGAGAAAATATTAAAAGAAATTTGTGATATAAAAATATGTAAATATGCAAGGGTATAGAAATGATTGTATTGAAATATATAAAATTGACTTCTTTGTACCGAAATATTTGTACCTAAATGCTTGTACCGAAATATATTATAATGACCCTGAATATATGTACTAAAATGTATTATATTGAATTAATGTACCTAAATGTATATACCGAAATACACGTACCAAAATATAATATATTGAATTAATGTACCTAAAAGTCAATACCCAAATATGTGTATTAAAATGTATGTACCAATATGCATTATATTGAATTAATATACCTATATGTTTGTATCGATGGATATACCAAAATATTCAAATGTATTAATATACCTAAATGAAGAACATACAAAATTGTTATTGGAATATATTATAAAAATTTAGTTTGCCTAAATTTAGACATTAAAATATATTATAATGGGTGAAATGAAAATTAAATTTATATGTAATTAATACATTAAAAAAGAAAGAAAAAGATAAATAAAACATCAAAATATAAATAATAAATGAGATGTATCAGGGACTACAATTGAATTTTAATCTTACACAAGGTTATAGTCTGAAACTCATCTTTTTTTAAGGATTAAAATGAAGTTTTCCATACAATTTTTTTGTGAGCGGTTAAAAAAGAAAGCTTAAATGAAATATTGTAATAACGAAAAATTTATTAAACATGAATTGTCATTAGATACAATAAATAAAAAACACAAAAAGTAAACTCTTAAACGTCAGCTATGCAACAGAGGTTCAATTGGAAAAATAATGTATAAATATCACCTGAGATATTTATACATTATTTTTGCAATTCATATAACCTGGGGGTATAGCTAGAATCATAACAATTGTTACATAGACAAATTGCTTATCCTTATATTTGGAAGCCAAAATCCAAATATAACAAATGCACTATTTGATATTTGTATTTGTAACAATACAAATGCATAGAAATGGAACATCCATGATCCATTCCTATGAATTATATATTAAAATAAGGTGATAAAATTCAACATGTTATAGCAATACTCTTTGAATCCCTCTATACAACATATTATAACAAAATCTAAAAATAGCACCTATCCAAAGCAAAAAATAAATAAATAAATAAACCACCTTCCCACTAACCAAACAGACCATATAACACCAAAACTCAAATAAAAAAAATAAAAATAAAAACCAAGAGCGAGACCAACCTTTTTGTCACATCCTGACCCGGGACGGATCACTTTCCGGGCCCGCTCCATCACCATAGCACGATATTGTTCGGTTTGGGCTTACCATTCCTTCACGGTTTTGTTTTTGGAAACTCATGAGCAACTTCCCAGTGGGTCACCCATCATGGGAGTGCTTTAGCCCCCTTCTTGCTTAACTTCAGAGTTCCTACGGAACCCGAAACCAGTGAGCTCCCAAAAGGCCTCGTGCTAGGTAGGGATGGAAATATACATTTAAGGATCACTCCCTTGGGCGATGTGGGATGTCACAATCCACCCCCCTTAGGGGCCCGACGTCTTTGTCGGCACACACGCGGTCAGGGTTAGGCTCTGATACCAAATGTCACATTCCGGCCTCGGGCAGATCACTTTCCGGGCCCGCTCCACCACCATAGCACGATATTGTCCGCTTTGGGCTTACCATTTCCTCATGATTTTGTTTTTGGGAACTCACGAGCAACTTCCCAGTGGGTCACCCATCATGGTATTGCTCTCGAGCGCTTCTCGCTTAACTTCGGAGTTCCTACGAAACCCGAAGCCAGTGAGCTCCCAAAAGGTCTCGTGCTAGGTAGGGATGGAAATATACATTTAAGGATCCCTCCCCTGGACGAAGTGAGATGTCACACTTTTCCTCTCTGACTGTAGTTCACCAGTTTCAAAGAACCGCAAAGATGCAAATTACTACTGCAATCATGGAAAAATTAAAATTAATAAGAATCGTTCAAATTATATTACAATGCATGCCAAGCCACAACATCTGATAATCAATCAATTCCACAAAATCATAAAAATAAAAAATAAAAAAACCAAAAACAACAACAGAAATAAAAAAAAAAATTACAAAAACTCTAAAAGAAGTCCAATTAAAAGTTTAATGATTCAACTCAGAGGAAGCTCTGCCAGTGAATTCGCTCGGCAAAAAAATTTGCATTTACAGATTCTCACACAAAAGAACTAGACTAATAGCATCAAAATGAACTAAAAAAACAAACATGCACACACCCAGCAACCATACCTCCACCAAGAGAAAAAATGGCAAAGCGAAAAACAAGCAGTGCTCAGCTACGACCAATCATTCCTCGCTTGCACATACACACAACTCTTTCAAATGGGCCCGAACACGGGGGTTGGAGACGAAGGCTTTTGCCCCAAAAATAGTCACACAGAGATAAGGACCCTTGAAAGCGAGAGAATAGCAATTGATAAGCAAAGAGAATGATTTGCGAAAACGAACACCAAAAACGAAAGGTAAAGTAAGCGAAATTGACAGAAAGGACAGCGTCAAGGATGACCGACGCGTTGCAAAAATGGGCAAAAACAACATTTGAAACCACAGAGTCCATCGATGACCAACACATGGCCAAACGGCTGGGGAACAGCGGTAACCGACCGGGCTCCAGTCCAAGGGCAACTCGAGAGAGAAGAGTGCAAAGCAAGGGCATAAACGCCTTTTCACTGTGGAAAAGCAAATAAAAAAAGAAAAAATTTGAAATAGGTCCAATTTTATAGACTACTTTTTGAAATAAGTTCAATTTTTAGTGACTTTTGATTTTTGAAATAAGTCCAATTTTTAGTGACTTTTGATTTTTGAAATAAGTCCAATTTTTAGTTACTTTGGACTTATTTCAAAAAACCCCATAAAAAAACCCAACCAACAAAGTATTTGGAGGGCATTTTCGCCCGTGAACAGTGATTTTGTGTTGTGCTTTAGTATAGGAATAATTTGGTAAGTCTATAAAGTTTATTTACATTCAGCCCTTTACTTGTTATTTTTTCTATTTTACTTTTTGTCTTTACATTTAAAAAGGAAATTGCAAACTGACTTGGACTACTTCCGAATGGTTTGTGGTTCTTTCTTGGCACCAATACAAAGAAAATATATAATCCTTGTCACCAACGCATAAAAAAAACCTAACATGAATTTAATCCTTCCACGGCACAATCCTTTATAAAAGGCTCAGTTTACTTGTGCCGTAAACAAATAAGCTTTACAAACATTTAATAAACAATCAATCATTTGGTCTTGATCAATAGTAGCACGCCTAATCAATTCGTTTAGAAGAGCCTAAAAGCCTGCTCAAGGCTTTGGCAAGACACCTTTAAATGAACACAGAGTCCATCACTTACGCAGGGAGAGTTGCATGTGGATCTCACATCTAACAGCTTCTCGGAGTACTGAATATGATCCATTGTTCAATTTTAAACCGTAAATTCCATAGACGCTTGAAGAAGCCCAGATCATGACCTCACATTGTGCCATGACAAGACGATGTTATAAAGGTGGCGTACCTCGAAGTTGTCCCTGATCGTGACCTCGCGTTGCTCGAGCTCAACACATTTTGGTCTCGTGCTCCAAAGTTTAGATTTTGAGCTTGATGGGCTTAGATTTCTTCAGGTGGTTCTGCTCGTGGGACGAAAGATCATGGATGATAAGGGATGACAAGGAATTTCTTTAGGAGGTTTTACTGGACGTAGAAGATGGTGGCTTGTGATCTGTTTGTAATAAAGGGGTCGAGAGAAGCAGAGAGAAAGGAAAAAGAGAGGAACAGAGAGAGGAGAGAGAAGCGGACATTAATAAAAAGTTGATGGGTAAATGTAGAGAGAGGAGAGACCTGCTTTCACCCTGTGCTTGCTTTGATTGCTTTGTTCCCAGCCGTTAAGATCAGATCTAACGATGTACGCCCAAAGACCAGTCTGCATAAAAGAATTTGCGTTGGTTGACTTACCAACACGAGGATATTTCAGTATGTTCAGAATATAGAATGATACCACTGCTATATAATAAAAATTTTCTCCTACTGTACTACCCGACACCTACATATAAAGGAGAGCAAGGACTCTCTCTCCCTTCTCGACTGGCTTCTGGTGATCGCCATTTTGCACTTCTCTTACTGCAAGCCTTTACTCTCCCTCTCCCTCTCTCACTTTCTCTCTCGTACCTTTCTGTGAGGTATTTCCATATCTCATTCCGCAGCTTCTTTCAACCATGACAGTCGTGACGCCTGCCCCTATTGATGTATGACTCTCTCTCCTCTCTCTCTAAGTGTACATCCATCTATGTGTTTGGTGTTTGCCGATATCAGAGGTTTGGTTTTTGGTTCAAATTTGTATGTATTTCCTAAGATTATTGTAATTGGTTTTTTTTTTTTTTTTTTTTTCCCAGAACTAAAATTGAAATTTGGGGTTGTTTAGGGCTTTGGTTTCCAAATTTCTGTAATATGGTTATGATTCTCTCCATTGCTGTTTGAAATTTAGGGTTTTGTTGGAAATAGTAATAAGCGTTTGCTTTTGGTAAATGCTCAGAATTCTTCGTCACCCTTGTGTTTTTGTTTCAGCAACCAGAGGACGAGGAGATGCTTGTCCCGCATTCGGATTTGCCCGAAAACAATCACCAACCGATGGAAGGTATTATGATGCGTACAGCATGTCCATTCCCTGTAATTTTAGTTTTACTTGTATCTGACAAGTGGTTGTCTTCACTAAGTTATTTTTTTTGCTTTTGAAAGCAAACTCTAGGAAGTTCTCATACAGTGTCCATTGAAAAAGATCATATATACATGTTCTGCACAGTTGGATACTGAAATAGATCCTTTGAGTTTAGTTTTTAGTTTTCTCGCAGTACTGTTATTTTAGTTGTACGTTCAACAACTAACAGCATGAAAATTTTGTAACATATTTATGTTTCATTTTTGTTTCTTTGCATATTAGTCGTTGCACAACCTGAAACTGCTAATAATGTGGAGAACCAGCCAGTGGAGGATCCTCCATCATCAAGATTCACATGGAGAGTTGACAACTTTACTAGGATGAATACGAAGAAGTATTATTCAGATGTATTTGTTGTTGGCGGCTATAAATGGTACTGATCATCTTCTCTATTTTTTTTTTACGTCTTCACTGTGCTGTGATACATTCCTCTTTGACATGTTCCTCTTTGCTTTGCTTTGGCAGGCGCGTGCTTATTTTTCCTAAGGGAAACAATGTGGATCATTTGTCTATGTATTTGGATGTTGCGGATTCTTCAAGTTTGCCATATGGGTGGAGTAGACATGCCCAGTTTAGCTTGGGGGTTATCAATCAAATTCATAACAAGTATTCAGTACGAAAAGGTAACTCCTTGGATATATATTCTTCTAATCTTCCACTGCTCATTAAATTTTGGATTGGAGCATTTGGCAATATAAGAATTTCCGGACTTAATCCACGATGTTGGGTGTGATTCTCTATCTATCAGAACATGTGTGCATTTAAACGTGGAAATCAGGAATGTTGCAAATAATGGTTTCTTATGTTGATGAAAATAAGTAGATTTGCTAGGAAAGAAAATCGTTCATGGTTCATTACAAGTATCAGAGCCCAATGAATCTAATGGAGGACTTGGTTGTAGGGAGTGCATTATGTAATAGGGAAATTCAGAATGTAGATGTGTTTGGCCTTTCGGTTTGCTTCTGGTACTTAAGCTTGGTGAATTCAGTTCATGTGATCTAGAAATTCAATAGTTATGTTTAGGCTTGTATTAGTTGGAGTTGTTTCGAAAACCAAAATTTTACCGATTCTGTAAGCTGGTGCTGACATTTTGTATACTTACAGACAGAAACCTGCAGAATTAAACAAAAATGTGCATATAGATTTCAACTAACCGAGCGCAGTGGCATTCTAGAATTCTTCAGCCAACCCCACTTTGTGGGATAAGGCTTTGTTGTTGTTGTGCATATAAATTTCAACTCACTGTATTTGTGTGATACAGACACACAGCACCAGTTCTATGAGCGAGAAAGTGATTGGGGTTTTGCATCCTTTATGCCTCTTAGTGAACTTTACGATCCCAGTAGAGGGTATCTTGTGAATGATACACTTATAGTTGAAGCCGAGGTTCTCGTTTGTACGGTTTTTGAATACTGGACATATGACTCAAAAAAGGAGACAGGTTATGTGGGGCTTAAGAACCAAGGAGCAACATGCTACATGAACTCTCTTCTCCAGACTCTGTATCATATTCCTTATTTCAGAAAGGTTAGCGGCCGCCCTTCTCCCTCATGCTAACTTGTTTGTTTAGAGATCTGAGGAAAACAATTTCTTGGATTATATATTTCAGGCTGTTTACCATATGCCCACAACCGAGAGTGATTTGCCATCGCAAAGCATACCATTGGCTCTGCAGAGTCTATTTTACAAGCTCCAGTACAGTGACAATAGTGTGGTGACCAAAGAGCTTACAAAGTCTTTTGGATGGGACACATATGATTCATTTATGCAGCATGATGTGCAAGAACTCAATAGAGTTTTGTGTGAAAAACTTGAGCACAAAATGAAGGTAAAATTCTAACTAAACTTAGTTTGATGAATTTGAAAATCTTATGAATTGGAAGCTCTGGATACTTAATGAAAAGTACATCAGGGAACTGTTGTAGAGGGAACTATACAGAAGTTCTTCGAAGGACACCATATGAACTACATTGAATGCATCAACGTGGACTACAAATCTACAAGAAGGGAATCATTTTATGGTACTTCGATTTTTCTGTTTTGAGCTCTCCCATGTTTGCTCCTTTTGCATAACATTTTTTAATATGTGCCTGGCAGATCTTCAACTTGATGTCAAAGGCTGTCGTGATGTTTATGCTTCTTTTGATAAGTATGTTGAAGTGGAACGTCTTGAGGGTGGTAACAAGTATCATGCTGAACAGTATGGATTACAGGTTGGTAGCTCTATTAAATTTTCAGGCTGTAGATAATTTGGACAATTTTGCATGAAATTCTGTGGGACTTGTCTGCTTGCTAAACTTGTTTCTGTTGACTAAGCTTCTGAGCAGCTCACTTTTGCTTGCTCCTTGCATTGATCAAGATTGCAGGATGCTATTTTTGCAATGCCATCCGTGCCTTTCTATTTTGAATTTTAGTTTTGTGTCTTAGGACACTCTTGGCCCCAATGTAAACAAATAAACCTGACATCTTGGGTGGAGACAAATTAACTTGAGGCAGTCAAGGTAAAGATGATTGCAAATTAGATGGTGACTAGCTATTTTTTTTTTTCTTCAACTTATCGAACCATTGCTTTTGCAAGGCATTTTCAACCCAAACAAGAGAAGAAAATTATAAAAAGCAAAGTCACAAGGGTTGGGCTTTCACAGGCCCTTCAAATTGATGAATAAGATTGAGGCGTGGTAAAATAGGTGTTACAACTGAGGGAGGGGAAGAAATAGGTTGGCAGTTGTTAAACTTAATTTCCTGAATGCTGGAATGGATATAGTCTACACAATCCAAGTTCATAAACCTTCAGGATTTTGGAAATATGATGAGTTATTTTATTATGGGAAAGAAAAAAGAAAGAAGAAGAAAATAGTGGATTGTTCTTCTCAGCTGCAAGGGGATAAAACAAATTCAGAAGTATGGTTTATCTGATTTGGTTGGGATCTGAAGGTTGTGGCAAGAGATACAAGTTGATGCCCATCGACAAATCTTTCTGAAGGACATAGTTTAAAGTGAGGTTTTGGGAAGGACAGATGGATTGAGGGTACAGAGTTTTGTTCGTTATATCTGCATCTGTACAGGTAATCACAATTTCATATCTATTCCAAGAATGTGTGTCAGTTCTTTGCTTCGCCTTAAAGTTGGGAGGTTTCAAAGGAATCTGAATGATCAAGAAGCAGAGTTGTCGCTGTTGTCAACTGTAGGACCAGTCTCCCTCGTCCCTCATAAAGCAAATAGGAGAGTTTGGAAGTTGGAGCATTCTGTAACGTTTTCTTCTAAGTCACTCAATACATATTGGATATCCCGGCTCCATCTCTTCTACTGAAAAGTTTGGAACTTTGAATGTTGTTGCCCTGTCCCTTGGCTTTTTCTTTGTGGGCTTGGTTAATTGAGGAGGCAGGGTTATACTGGTCCATTCCAATGTCATCTAATAAGTTACTATGTGAAAAGCTTTGAAAAGGGGTTTAGTGCTGTGAATTTTTCCAGTGGTACGTGTAGATAGGAAAAGCAGAAATTTTGTGGATATTGTGAGGAGGTGGAATGCTTATGGGAAAGGGCATGCTGTTGGGCATCTTTGTGAGTGCATGTAGCTTTGGAATTTAGAGAGAGCTCGTTTTCTGTTATTTTTCAAATTGGAAAGCCTCTGTCTTGTAATTTAGAGAGATCTTGTTTTCTGTTGTATTGTTTCAATCTGAAATGAAAGTTTGGTTCTTTTTAAAACAAAATGTTTGAATAATGAGGCAGAACAATGTTTGAATAGCCTATTTGTACACGATATTAGGGGTGTTCAAAAGAAACTGACGGTCTTTTCAAACAGGTTGCTGCGTAAATTCAGTAGAAGTTGTAAAAGCGGATCTTATCTTAGAAAGTAAAAACTTATATAATTGATTTGGTGGGTAGTTTTAAGCATCAATATTTACGTTCAGTTTTTTCTTTTCCTTGGTTTCCTCCTGTTGCCTACCTCTCTCCTATTTATTGTTCCCCTCTCTTTCCCATGATAAATCTACCTTTGTCTTTTGTTTTGTGGAGGGATTGTAACGTCCCAAATCTAATAGTTGGTTTGCTTCGGCCACAAGTGTGATTATATCTTCAGTTTGTTGCATTTTGTTTTTGGCTGTTTGTCATAAGAAAAACTATTGTTTTATTGGCTTATATTTGTTGGATGATCATTTTGGACGTTGTGGGATCTTTTCAGGATGCCAAGAAAGGTGTTCTGTTCATTGACTTCCCCCCTGTGCTTCAACTTCAACTGAAACGATTTGAGTATGACTTCATGCGGGACACAATGGTGAAGGTTGGAATTCAATAAGGGGAAAAAATTGATATAACATGCCATTGTGACTGTTATTTGTGCATGATTAGTTTGTTACCATGAATTTCACTATAGTTTGTCCATCACAATTGTGTCCAAATGATTGTTTGAAAATGAAAATGGGAAACTGTTGTCTGTATTTAATGATCCATTTATTCGCAATCAGAGTATATTTACTTGATAAGTTGTGGTCAGTATGAATGCTGAGGAAAGAATACAAAAGAGAGTAAATTTAGATTTAACTGAAAGTTCAGTTTCAGTCAATTAAACCAATTTTAATCAAAGTTTAGACAAAAAAAGGGTAAGGACCCATGTTGTGTTTGCATTAAAGATATCCTTATGATTTGCATGTCCTGTGATCTGGCCATTAATGGTTCTATTATCAGACATTTGACTTGAATGACCTGTTTATTAGACTGGTCTGTCATATATGGGTTTGTCACCGGAAAATATAGCTTTGAGTTCCATTATTTCTCCCATCTAGTTTTCCATAGTGATTGTTTCTCAATTCTTCACAGCTTTTAAGTGAATAGGGCCTTTATAACTTGATCCATTCATAATTTATTCCAGATGAGATTGGAGTGATGTGATTAGCATTTGATTACATAAGACTGATAAACTGCATTTCTTTACTTGACATTAAATATAGTTCTTGATGGTCTCATTGTGTAGATTAATGATCGTTATGAGTTCCCGTTACAACTTGACCTTGATCGAGAGAATGGAAAATATTTATCGCCTGAAGCTGATAGGAGTGTTCGCAACCTTTACACACTTCACAGGTACATTTTCAGCATCATTCTTATTTGTCATGTATCGGAGTCCACTTTGTTTAGTTTAATCTCTTAGGGAAGCTTTCTGGTGATCCCTTTCATGTGATAATAATAGTTATGAGGTTCACTTACTGGTGCTTGATATAGTTGGGGAAATATTCTATGTAGCTCTTGTTATTGAAAGAATTCTAAATTCCTCATGCATGCTTTGTAGGAAACCCCTTTGCTCTTTTAGTTGCATCTCTTTTTTCTGGACAGAACTATTTTCGTTGTTTAAGGAATCTTGGTAGGGTGCCAAAATTTCTGCTTTGAGGATATTTTGGTTGACATTACTATCTGATAGTGGTGCTGAATTTCACTTTTGTTGCACATTGTTTGTGGGGAAATAAATTGGTATCGAACTCGCCAGCCACAAGATTCATAGTACTAAGAGAGATACAAATTTGATATGTAAAACCCACATTTACATCTCATTTTACATTTCAGGAGGTGTAAATGTTGGTTTTACTCCAATGGGAGAGATGTAAAATTTGGAATTTCATTCATCGTTCTCTATTTGATTGGTTGGGCGACCTCCAAAAGATGTAAATTTACATTTTTATTTATATCTTCTGGCGAATATGGATATTTGACGTCCCTCCATTGGAGTGTTTTCAAGCCAACCCAAAAATGTAAATGTCAATTTCAAGGCATTTTGCATCTTCCATTGGAGATGCTCTAAGTGGCTGTGTTCCTTTAGTTGTTATGATGTTATATGTATGTACACGTCTCATTTTATATCTATGGTGTGCTTTCCTATTCTATTTTCTTCTTCTTCACCTTTAGTTGCTATGATGTTATATGTATGTACACATTTCATTTTATATATGTGGTGTGCTTTCCTATTCTATTTTCTTCTTCTTCTTGCTTTTTCCCTGTCTTGTACTGCTCATTCACCTATAATGTTTTTTTCTTAAAAAAGGAGTAAATTGTAGCCTCAACTTTAATCAAATTGGAGCAATGGTCCCTCAACTAAAAATCCATTACCATTGGTCACTCAACTCATTAAAACGTGTAGCTATGGTCCTTTTAGTCAATTTTGTCAAAATGAGTTATGTTGGAAAGAGCATTGCTACAATTGAGTTAAAGTTAAGGGACCATTTCTCCAATTGGGTTAAAGTTGAGGAACCATTGGTAATGAATTTTTAGTTGAGGGACCATACCTGCACATTTTGATGAGTTGAGGGACGAATGGTAATGGATTTTTAGTTCAGGGACCATTGCTACAATTTACTCTACAAAAAATTATTGTTGTGGAATAAACAAACACTCTAAGGCATTTTTATGTCTCCCTTAGACACAAGATGACTATGTTTTGATCTCCCTATAAAAGAATTAGTTTCGATTTGTAGTTAATTTTTCTATTGTACTTACCCATTTTATGGTTGTTTACAGTGTTTTGGTGCATAGTGGTGGGGTGCACGGTGGACACTATTATGCCTTTGTCAGGCCAACACTTTCTGATCAGTGGTATGTCACAGTTCTGTATCCATCTCTCAAGTGTGCACACATGTTTTGCTTGTCTGGAAAACTTATGATTGATTCTCATCACCTTGCTGGATCAACCCCCTAGTTTGGGTTTCATATTGTTTGTTTGAAGCCAGAATTTCTAGAAGCACACATGTACAAATATGCCTATATACTTTACGTTTTAAATTTGATCGACTTCTTTCCTAGCATCAGGAGGACCCTTTTCTGCATTTGTCTTTTCAGGAGAGACAATTTCATTGCCTATAAACAGTAGAAATCCAAATTTCAAAATTGGGAAGTGGACCACTTCAGAAAAGCTGGAAAAAAAAAACAAGGAAGCTTATCTAAAACAAAAGGGACCTTATCTGTGAATTCTTTGAATCTTCAGGCAATTAATGACTCACTACAGTTGTATTGTCAACCTTTCTGGGTGAACTGTAGTTTGATTTTTAGCAGTGTCTATCTCTATATATATGAAGATGGATGTGGTTGTAACTTTTATATAGCAATCTATATATATGACTATAACTAAGCATACCACCTTCATATCAATCTCCTCGATAAGTAGCAACCACACTCACATTCACTTTCAGTGTGCCACAATAAGGTAATGATAACATAGTAAATGACCATGCCATACGGATGTTTTGAGGCCTTGGGTCATAATAGGCACCTCAGTTGGTATGTTTCTGTGCCAATTCTGTTTCCCAAGTTTTATGCTAATTCTAGACATTTGATTGAATTTTGAGAAATGCTGGGAAAGCAAGGAACTGAAGTTGCTACTATCTTCAATCAAGCACCCTTCATTTCACATGTCATTAAGTGTGGTTAGCAGGTATAAATTCGATGATGAGAGGGTAACAAAAGAAGACATAAAGAGGGCACTAGAGGAGCAGTATGGTGGTGAGGAAGAGGTATGCTTTTCCATTTTCTGCCTGTGATATTGAATTGATGTTTATATTTTTAAGTTTTTTTTTTTTTTTTTTTTTTTCATAATTTGCTTATTGTTTTACAGTTACCGCAGACAAACCCTGGGTTTAATAACACTCTTTTCAAATTTACGAAATATTCAAATGCATACATGCTGGTGTACATTCGGGAAAGTGACAGAGATAAAATAATCTGCAATGTGGATGAAAAGGACATTGCTGAACATCTGAGGGTGAGATCCTGTTCTTAAGGCCAAGTTTTAGGGTATGTTATTCATTTTTAAGAAATTGTGGCTTCTCCATTTGACGATGTATTTGAATGAACCTCTGAACAATGCTTATCTCAATTGTCCTGTTGTTTGAGATCAGTAAAGTTCTACTTGAACTTGGAATCAGAAATAAATGAGTTACAAAGAAGGTCATGCTTTGCTTGTTTGTTTCATACATTTGGCACATCAACTGCTTTGTGGACAAACTTGCTTAATTTATGAGTTACTTATATACAAATGAAAACAAATACACTATTGCCTTACGGGAGATAAGTTCTAAATAAATTCATTGACTTGTGTCAGGAGAGGTTAAAAAAGGAACAAGAAGAAAAGGAGCACAAGAAGAAAGAAAAGGCAGAGGCACACCTGTATACTATTATAAAGGTTGGGGTTTAGCTGTTAACGTCTCCCTTATTAACAAGTGACTTTAATGGTCAATTTGTACAAGTTTGTAGTTTGAATATGCTTAAGAGGTATATGATTCATCTAGGTTGCCAGGGATGAGAACCTCATGGAGCAAATTGGGAAGGATATTTATTTTGATCTTGTGGATCATGACAAAGTTAGAAGTTTTCGTATTCAGAACCAGACTCCTTTTAACCTTTTTAAGGTACAATTCAGAAGGTGCTTGTTGCACCTGATTTTAAACCTTTTTTTTCTTCTATCAATAAGAAAAAAAACTTTCTTCTTCCGCTGGCATCCAACTATCCATATTGTCTGCTAAATACGTTATGGCTGTAATGGTTGCTTATGTCCTCTTTCGTTTTGCAAGATATTAGTTAGTGTATTAAAACTCGAAAGGCTAGAGTTATTGCTTTGCTTGTCGATAGTTCTCCTTTTTTCTTAAAGAAAATAAGTTATTTTTCCCCCCTTTGTAGGTTGGATGTAAGGTAGAAGCAGAGGATAGAACTCTAGATGCTTTCAAGTCCTCTTACATTGTCTCATAACAGTTAACTGACCTGTTTGTGTCATTATATTTTCATTTGTATAGTTACGGTTTAGTAACTGTAACCATTCTACACAAGCAGAAGTACACACACGAAGAGGAATATATATTATAAATATATATATTAATTATATATATGGTTTAGGATCTGGGGACACATGCTTTAATCATCCTTGCAAAAAATTAGACAAATCCAAAACCATTAAGACATTCATTTGTAATGAAGAAAATGGAAAAATGCAGTTCTACAAGAAACACTAAATTTATTCTAACGGTCATACGGTTTTGGATTTGTGTGATTTTGGTAGACTTGATCTTTGAGGTAAGACATAAAAGATAGACGTTTGGATTGTTTAAATACATTATGTAGTGGGCCCCACAAACATGTGTGTCAAATGCGTCTCCACTATCCGGATCCTAACTCTATATATATATATATATATGTATGTATATGTATATATATGTATATGTATATATGTGTGTGTATTATTGAGGGTCTGCACTATAGGGAATTAGAAAAGTAGTAAACATGACAATATTATATCAACTGGCAAGTGAAGTTATATATAGAGAACAAATGTATGATTAAATTTGGCGTTCATTCAATTGATAATCATGTGATGCTTTTGAGCACTGGATGACATTTATAGGTATACCAAAAGATATGTTCTATTTGTTTCTACCATGGATTAGGGACGGCAGGTCCTTGTTTTGGCTTTTTTTTTTTTCTTTTTTGTATGATTTTGATTAAGTTTCATGGTGAGATATGGCTATTTATATTTTTCCTCCCAGTGGCTTAAATTTGATGCCATTGAGTAATTGTTAAACATATGGTGCAGGGCTTAAATTTGTAAGAATCACTCCCAGTGGCTTTGTATGTAGGGTTAGTTTAGGTTGCAACACACAATCCTGATAGAAGCAAACCGATTTTCCTTCCGCGCAACCGGTGACTAAGTGCATCATGGTTTGGACCGCCAGATTTGATCCACGCTTAATTTTGTTGAACAGTCTTCAAATCCAGCAGTCCAAACACCGGTTGCATGTGGTGACCGGTAGCTCCCATGAAATATTGGAAGGAACTTATAGAGCTGCAAATTTATTCAATCTTCCAAAATCCTCTCTAAGGGATTACAGTTGGAAACTTATAGAACCTAAACCTAAGAAAACCCTAGGGTAACAAAAGTACTAAAATACGCCAAACTAAATAATATGAAATAACAAGAGTCCAGCAGAAAACCTAAGGGAAACCGTAGGTAACCAAAGTACCTCTAACTTTATCGCAAATATTCCTAATACGATGGCATCATCTGGGATGTGCCAAATTAGGCTTGAATGGTATGTATGCTCGTCTGGGTTTCTGGGCATACTCTGGTTTGAGAGTGGGCACAAATAGAATGAGAAACAGTGTTGGCATCATCGTGGACAAGACCTTGACACAAGATGTTGTAGATGTCAAGAGGGTAGGAGATAGAATTATGGCAATCAAGATTGTAATAGGACAAGAACTCATCAATGTGATCAGTGCGTACGCACCTCAAGTAGGGTTGGATACAAGTTTGAAGGAGAAATTTTGGGAAGATCTTGGAGACTGGGTGCAAGGAATTGCCCAGACGAAGAAGGTATTTATAGGAGGAGATTTAAATGGACACGTGGGCAAGGAGACAGGCAACTATGGAGGTTTTCATGGTGGCCATGGTTTTGGGGAGAGAAACGAGGATGGGGAAGCCATCTTGGATTTTGCAATGGCATATGATCTCCTCTTAGCCAACACCTTCTTTAAGAAGAGAGAAGAACATGTCATCACCTACAAGAGTGGGTTGTCAAAAACACAAATAGATTTTCTTCTTCTGAGGAAAGGGGATCGTATAACTTGTAAGGATTGCAAAGTTACACCAGGAGAGAGGTTGGTTAATCAACATCACTTGTTGGTGATGGATGTACATATCAAAAGAGAGAAAATGGAAAAAGACTTGGAAGTGCCCAAGGACTAGATGGTGGAATCTAAAAGGGGAAAAACAAACCATTTTCAAAGAGAAAGTAATCACCCAATGCGTGTGGGATAGAGGGGGGGAAGCTAGCCAAAGGTGGGATTCCATGGCTAGTTGTATCCAAAAAGTAGCAAAAGAGGCATTAGGGGAGTCCAAGGGCTTTGCTCCACACCAAAAGGAATCTTGGTGGTGGAATGAGGAGGTACAAACAAAGGTGAAGGCTAAGAAGGAATGTTGTAAAGCCTTATACAAAGATAGGACTGATGAAAATGGTGAAAGGTATAGAATAGCGAAGCAGGAGGCGAAGAAAGCTGTGAGAGAAGCTAAGCTAGCGGCTTATGATGATATGTATAAGCAACTAGATACCAAAGAAGGAGAGTTGGATATCTATAAACTAGCTAGAGAAAGGGAAAAGAAGACAAGGGACCTAAACCAAGTGAGGTGCATCAAGGATGAGGATGGAAAGGTTGTTGCTACAGAGAACGCGGTCAAAGACAGATGGAGAGGTTATTTTCATAATATTTTCAATGAAGGACATGAAAGGAGTACTTCTTTGGGGGAGTTGAGTAACTCAGAAGAGTGTAGAAACTACTCCTTTTACCGTCGAATCAGGAAGGAAGAAGTGGTTGTAGCTTTGAAAAAGATGAAGCATAGAAAAGCAGTGGGCTCAGATGATATACCGATCGAAGTGTGGAAAGTCTTGGGAGAGAAGGGTATGGCTTGGGTCACAGACTTTTTCAATAGGATTTTGAAAACGAAGAAGATGCCAAATGCGTGGTGAAAGAGCACTTTGGTGCCTATCTACAAGAATAAGGGCGACGTACAAAATTGCATGAATATAGATTGAGGCAAGAGATACGGGCTTCGGACAACCAATTCGGGTTCATGCCAGGGCGTTCAATCATGGAGGCAATCTATCTCTTACGAAGATTGATGGAAAGATATAGAGAGGAAAAAGGATTTACATATGGTCTTTATAGATTTGGAACAAGCGTATGATAGGGTCCCAAGAGACATTCTTTGGAGGATTTTAGAGAAGAAAGGAGTACGAGTGGCATATATCCAAGCTATAAAGGATATGTATGATGGAGCAAAAACTGCCGTAAGAACTCATGAATGACAAACCGAAAGCTTCCCCATAACTGTGGGGTTACATCAAGGCTCATCCTTAAGTCCTTACCTCTTTGCATTGGTAATGGATGAGTTAACGAGACATATTCAAGATGATATTCCTTGGTGTATGCTTTTCGTAGACGGTTTAGTGTTGATAGATGAAACTCAGGAAGGGGTAAATGCGAAGCTTAACCTTTGGAGAGAAGTGTTGGAATTGAAAGGTCTTCGCCTAAGCCAATCAAAGACAGAGAATATATGGAGTGCAATTTTAGTGCAAATGGAGACCAAAATGAATTAGGGGTGAGGACCGGAGATCAGAAAGTACCAAAGAGCGACTGCTTTCGCTACCTAGGATCTATCTTGCAAAAGAACAGAGAATTAGATGGAGTCCTCAACCATAGAATACATGCTGGATAGATGAAGTGGAAGAGTGCATCCGGCGTGTTGTGTGACAGCCGTATGCCATTGAAGCTCAAGGAAAAATTTTATAGGATAGCAATAAGGCCGACGATGCTGTATGGCATGAAATGTTGGGCGGTGAAGCATCAACACGTACATAACATGGGTGCAGCGGAGATGAGGATGCTTCGTTGGATGTGTGGGCACACGAGAAAGGATAAGATTAGGAATGAGGATATCTGAGGTAAAGTAGGAGTAGCCGAAATTGAAGAAAAGATGAGAGAAAATCGGTTACGATGGTTTGGACATGTGCAAAGAATGCCTACTGACGCTCCGGTTAGAAGATGCGACTACGGGACAGAGGTCCAGGGCCGAAGGGGTAGAGGAAGACCTAGGAAAACTTTGGAAGAGACTCTAAGAAAAGACTTAGAGTACTTGGATCTAACCGAGGACATGACACAGAACCGAGATCAATGGCGTTCTAGGATTCATATAGCCAACCCCACTCAGTGAGAAAAGGCTTTGTTGTTGTTGTTGTTACTCTGTTTTGAGAGTAAGGTGCTCAGCTGTTTTTAAATTTCTGTGACTATGATTGCTCAATTTGTATCCCCATTTTATTAAATTTCTGGTTTCCTCTTGAGATTTAAAAATCAAAGGTATAAGTTTTGCTAGCAGATGAATCAAAATTTCAATGAAACATTCCAAGGGATTTATGCCTTTTGCATAGTATTCTAAGTGGACTTCAAGGTATATAGTATATCCATTCTGAAGTTTATTTAATTTATTATATATATATATATATATACATATATATATATATATATATATATATAAAAGCTGCTCCCAAAAAGATTTGTATAAGAAATGATTGATAACTAGGTACCTCCTCCAAATTCCGAATATGTATCACTGTCTTCACTTCCAATCTTGTGTTTTCTTTTTAGTGGTGATGTGCTGCTTCCAATAACATGGATTGTGTTTCCTTGCTGCGCTTCTTAATTGCTTTCCATAATGATTCATTCAGGAGGAGGTTGCGAAAGAGTTTGGCATACCAGTGCATTTTCAGCGTTTTTGGCTGTGGGCAAAGCGTCAAAACCATCCTAACCGTCCATTAACGCCTAAGGAGGAAACACGATCTGTACTTAATCTTGTGCTGCTACTATTTTTATGTTTTAAAGTATATTTTTTTCTTCTTTTTCTTCAATGTTTGTGGAACAGATGAAATTCATCTCCATATCCATTTGATGATGTTTGCATGTACAAGCTAATGCTTTTTAGAGAGTGCGTTTTTAAAAAAGCTACACTTTCTGTCTTTGACTTGTGGTTGTTGAAGCAGTTCTTTCATGTTGCATTACATCGGATGCCTTATTATATTTGTTAATGTATAGAAGCCTTAATTCCATATTTGTGCACTATGTATACTTATTGTTACACATGGTTGACTGGTAGTGAAGCCTGGCCGAGATTATTTGATTTTTTTAGGCCACATTGTTTCAATGAGAATTGCTCCACATTGTTTCAATAAAAATGGTTAAACAATTAGTATGTCTTGGTTGGGAAAGGTTTTCCATGGAAAATTACAATTTTGAAGAAAATTAGATTTTTATTTTTTGGAAAGACTCAGAAATATTCATTCTATAACATCAAGTAAAGAGTTTTTCGCTTTTGTATTTTTAAAGAAAACATTTTCTGGAAGTAGCTGATGTGTACAGTAGAGTAATAAAGGCCACATGGATGACTTGACTTTGCTTTTTACATCATCAAACATAGTCCAGAAAAGTGCTTTTTACATCAGTCTTTCTTTCATTGCATTGTAGGTTGGACAGTTGAGTGAGGTATCGAACAGGGTTCATAATGCAGAACTAAAGTTATTCTTAGAAGTAGAGCTTGGGCTGGTAATTGTACTTTACTACTAAAGATTGTGTCATTCTTGTATGGAATGTTCTTTATAGCATTTACCCAGATTTTCTGCATTTTTATTCAGGATTTACACCCTGTTGCTCCACCTGACAAGACAAAGGATGATATCCTGCTTTTCTTTAAGCTTTATGATCCAGAAAAAGAAGAATTACGGTACATTAATTTGGCATATTTGGGTTACTCTTACTCAATAAGTTACGGAAGAAGATGAAGTTTTATGTTTTTTGCTTATTTTCTCCATAATGTCAGATATGTTGGAAGACTTTTCGTGAAGAGTACTGGTAAGGCAGCTGAAATCTTGTCAAAATTAAATGAAATGGCTGGCTATGCTCCCGAGGAAGAGATTGACCTGTATGAGGTTTGTATGCAATCACATCTTGTCTCAGCTCTATGTCATTCTGTAGGCAACTTCTAGAACTACATGGTATATGTCCTTATGACAATGAAACTAGCAATTTAGCTAAGGATGGCACAATAGTCAGTTCACGACAGTAACCATGACTGGTTGAAGAAGTTTGATTTGTTTGCATCATCTATAAACAAGTACCCAAAACCTTGTGCCTTCACCGATTGAATCCAAGGTTCATGGGCCATAAGTTGAGTTTGTCTGGTGTAGAGCTGCCTGATTACTGGTCTCTGTTATTTACTAATTATTTATGTGGCGGTTGATTTATTTTGATTCTTTCTTTAGTTGTCAACCATGGTTTCTTACCGATGCTCTGATTCCCAGGAAATTAAGTTTGAGCCCAATGTCATGTGTGAACCCATCGATAAGAAGTTCACATTTCGTGCCTGCCAGGTATTTTCTAAATATTATCAGTGTTCATTAGCACTTTTGCTCGTCAATATTTGAACTTCTTGTCATTGTATGCAGCTTCAGGATGGAGACATTGTCTGCTTTCAGAAGTCAACTTCATTTGAAGGTGAACATCTCCGCTATGATGATGTCCCATCTTTTCTGAAATACGTGCACAACCGTCAAGTAAGACTTCCTGAAACTTATACTTAATGTGTTGGAATTTGGAAACTACTATTCCTTTGGTGCTTTATTTGAATTGGTAGTCATATGAGAACAGACTTTTGGTATGGTTGTGAGACTCTTACTGAAGCTTGATCTCATGCTGGTCCTGTTACTAGAAAAAGGATTTAAAATACATGCTTGTTTTCTGGATGATTGATTTGTTTCACCCACCCATATAAGAAGTTAACTGTGGTGCACTGTGGGTGCCGTCCCGTCATCATGTATAATAAGATGGAATAGTCATGTTTTCTAATTTCTTTGTAGACTTTTATACTGTAGATTACTAGACCATGTTCTGTCATGACTATTGTGTCTGAATATCTAGTTATTTCACCATAAATATTCTTGAGGAGCATTATTTCAGATAATGTATCCTATATCTCTATTATGTATGCCTGTGTTGGTGATATATTCTCATTGTCACAATTCTGTGAGTTCAGGAGGTAAGTATTGTGTATTTTAATAAAATTGTTTCTCATAAAAAAAGGTAACTTGGTTTGGCTAAGTCTTTATCATCTGATATGTCACAGGTTGTTCACTTCCGATCCCTTGAGAAACCCAAAGAAGAGGATTTCTCTCTAGAACTGTAAGCTACATTATTGTTGGTTAAAGTTTATCTACATTATTTACAATACCAATGCATTTGTGTTCATTAACTGTCCTGTATATGATCTACAAGTGAGTTTGTCATTACAATCTCACGGGTTGTCGTATTGATTTTAAGGTCAAAACTCCATACCTATGATGATGTTGTGGAACGAGTAGCTCGACAACTTGGTTTGGATGATCCATCCAAACTTAGGCTTACACCGCACAACTATTACTCACAACAACCCAAACCCCAGCCAATTAAGTATCGTGGGGTTGACCACTTGACTGATATGCTGGTCCACTACAGTCAGGTAATAATTCCACATCCCTAGGGGATATTTATTTTAATACCTAGAACAAAACTCTTACATCAATCTATGACAGACTTCAGATATATTGTACTATGAAGTGTTGGACATCCCTCTGCCTGAATTACAAGGTTTGAAAACTCTGAAAGTCGCATTCCATCATGCTACTAAGGAAGAAGTGAGTACACCTACAAGTTCGTACAAAGTTATGGTTTGTTAGTTTTAATTATTTTCTGATATATCTGTCTTTTACCAGGTGGTCATTCACACCATAAGATTGCCAAAACAGAGCACTGTTGGGGATGTAATTAATGATCTTAAAACTAAGGTGACATTTTTGGCTTGTTATTGTCACTATCATCCTATCCAGCCAATTGAAACTAACTATTTACTAGTAGTGTGTAGAACTTTTTGTTTTTTGGCCCACTTTTTTGATCTTGTCAACAGTTTACTTTAATCATTTATTTACTTAGTTTAATACCCTGAGTTTATGGCTCTAACTGGGTGTATCCCATCTTGGAACAGGTTGAATTGTCTCGTCCGGATGCAGAACTTAGGTTGCTTGAAATTTTCTATCACAAGATTTACAAGGTATGAGCTTCATCTTCCAATAAAAACGCTCTGACTACCATACCTGTGAAGTAGATATATGAAAGAAAAAATTGATAAGTATTGGTCTGATTAACGGATTCTTTCTAAAGTAAATTATACAATACCATCGCAAAAATAGGGATACAGTTTGTAAGAACACACTTTGAAAGTAATGTTTTCTATGTCCCTGCTGTGTGAGCTGAGTGTTAATTGGCTTGTTTTCTATATCTGTGCATGTCAAATGTCTCTGCGATGTTAATGTTTTCTATGTCCCTGCTATTTGAGCTAAGTGTTAATTGGCTTGTTTTCAACATCTGTGCATGTCAAATGTACAACATCGTGAATTCTGCGATAGGCATGGCTTTTTATCAAAATTTATATTTATCAAGCATTACAGGTAGGGTGAGGACATAAAATCCAACCGTGAGTAAAATGAAGCATGAGTCCACCACAAAAACGTAGGCCGTTTGTAGACATCAAAATTTCGGTGAAATGAATGTTGATCAATAATTAAAATTTCAACTCCCACGTGTCACATAAATTTTACATGTAGCGTGTGACTCAACGAAAAATCGAAATAAATTGGAAAAGTCATCAAATAGGACACGTGTCAATACCTGGTAGAAATGATTTATTTCATCTGATTATTTAAATCCAAAAATCAAGTTTTGGAATTCTATAAATAGGAAGCCAAGACATTCATTTTGGAGGAGAAAAGGAAGAGAAATTTACATTACACCAAAACTTTGAAGCCTTGAAACTCTAAAGCTCTCAAGCAAATCCCGAAGGATCAAGAAAGCCCTTTTCGTTTTTCGTCAAATCCTCCTTCAAGATCAAGTCCCAACGGCCCTTGAAATACTCCCACCAACTCAAGATCAAGCCTCGACGGCCCCTTGAAGAAAGTGTTCATCATTCATCATCCGTTCATCCTAAGATCAAGTTGGATCAACAACCTCAACAAACTTATACACCCATTCTTCAAGATCAAGCCCAACGCCCCTTGAAGATCCATTCATCAACTGTTCATCTTTAGATCAAGCCCCGACGGCCCTTTGGATCAACAACTCATCCACAAACCTACACCCTACGAAGATAGAATCAGAGGATCAAATTACAAAGAGATTGTAACCTCAAAATCATTAATACAAAAATATATTTTGTACACGTATTCTTGTTTCAGGAATTTTTCGTGTTTACAAATTTGGCACGCCCAGTGGGACAATCTCTACCTCTCATCTCTATCCTCAAATCATCGAAAAACGCAAATGGCATCAAGAAATGATCAAGTTGTTCCTGCAATCAAAGCAAAGAACAAGAACATCATCGTCGCAAGTGGTGATATTTCGGGCATCATAACCCGAAGTAAGGCAAGAGATTTTTTTGTCGCGGCTTCCGTCCCTGCATTAACTCTGTCAAAGGAACAAGAGCACCTGAGATACGAGCCTGTGATCACCCTAGCCTCGCTAAGGGCATCAAGGGGGGAAAGCCCGAGGAAATACTCAGAGTCCCTACTCTCCGACGCTGATTCGAGCGGCAGTACAACCATGCAAGTCATGACCACTAGAGCAACTTCAATCGAGGAGCAGCTAGCTCAGATGAATGAAGCAATTGCAAAGCTCACACGGACTGTGGAAGAGAAGGACTTGCAGATTGCTGCACTCGTCAACCAACTAGATGCACGGCCCGACGTGAAAGTCGACCCAAATGTTGGCCTAGTAAAGAAAGAAGTTAACGAAGAAGAGGAGCCTCCAGCAGAGAAAGTCGAAGAGAAGCTGAAGCTAGACCAAGCAACGGCGTTCATGGGATCTCTCTCTATCCAGCAACTACAGGAGATGATTGCAAGCACTATCAAGACACAGTACGAAGGAAGCTCGCATGACTCCGTACTGTACTCAAATCCTTACTCCAAGAAGATTGATGCTTTGAAGATGCCAAGGGGTTATCAGCCCCCAAAATTCATGCAGTTCGATAGAAAAGGCAACCCGAAGCAACATGTCGTCCATTTCATTGAAACTTGGCAACAATGCTGGGATAGAGGGAGACTACCTCGTCAAACAGTTCGTGCGTTCGCTGAAAAGTAACGCTTGTGACTGGTACACTGACCTCGAACCTGAGTCTATCAACAATTGGGACCAGCTAGAAAGGGAATTCCTCAACCGTTTCTACAGCACTCGTCGTACTGTAAGCATGCTAGAGCTGACCAGTACGAAACAGTGGAAAGATGAACCTGTCGTCGACTACATAAATAGATGGCGCTCCTTAAGTCTGGATTGCAAAGATCAGCTTTCTGAAACCTCTGCCATTGAGATGTGCGTTCAAGGCATGCACTGGGGGTTACATTACATCTTCCAAGGCATAAAACCAAGAACATTCGAAGAGCTAGCAACTCGTTCCCACGACATGGAGCTGAGTATCGCTAATCACGAGAAAAATGAGCCGATTACTAACTTCGATAAGGATAAAGTATTCGCCCCAAATGTAGACAAGACCGGGAAGAAACCCGCTAAGGAAGTTTTCACCATCAACACTACCCCTATCAAGCCCTCCTCAGCGCCCATCAAGACCTCCTCAGCGCCCATCAAGATCTCCTCCAAGAAGAAAACGAAGGAGATAAAGACAAGTGAGCCTCCTCGCACCCAAGACAGATACAAGAGCACCTTGAGAGAGTTGGAACAGAAAACATATCCTTTTCCTGACTCTGACATGGCTGCCATGTTAGACGACTTGCCTGACGAAGAGGTGTTCTACATCGATATTTTCCCGACATGGACGATGTTCTTCGATGGATCCGCACGAGCAGACGGAGCGGGGGCAGGAGTAGTATTCATGACGCCACAAAGGCAAATACTACCTTACTCCTTCCAACTGAATGAGCTATGCTCCAACAATGTTGCTGAGTACCAAGCATTGATAATCGGGCTCCAAATGGCGATCAACATGGAAATCACAGCTCTTGAGGTGTATGGCGATTCCAAGCTCATAATCAATCAACTCTTAACTGAATATGAGGTGAGGAAAGATGATCTCGTCCCATACTTCCGGCTAGCAACCCAACTGCTCCAAAAGTTTGAAGCTGTGACACTAGAACATGTGCCAAGAAAGGAAAATCAAATGGCAGACGCTCTCGCCAATCTAGCCTCGAGCATGACATTAGGAAAAGATGAAGTTGCAGACGTGCCAGTTTGCCAAAGATGGGTGATTTCGCTCGTTAATGAAATGTCACTAGATGATACAAATGTCATCTCAGTACTTCCAGTCGATGCTGAAGAGTGGAGACAGCCGCTGATCAACTACTTAGAGCACGGAAAGCTTCCAGATGATCTTAGACACCGTTCCGAAATACGTCGACGAGCACCTCGCGTCCTTTACTACAAAGGAACACTCTACCGACGCTCTTTTGAAGGAGTGCTCCTGAGATGCCTAGGTGAGGAAGAAGTTAATCAAGCCATGGAAGAAGCACATTCAGGTGTGTATGGGGCACATCAGTCTGGACCAAAGCTACATTTCCGGCTTAAAAGAATGGGTTACTACTGGTCGAGCATGGTGAAGGACTACCTGAAACACGCCAAAAGGTGCCAAGCTTGCCAATTCCACGCCAACTTCATACATCAACCGCCTAAACCATTACACCCTACAGTTGCTTCATGGCCGTTCGACGCATGGGGATTGGACGTTGTAGGACCAATTACGCCAAAGTCATCTGCAGGGGAAGCTTACATCCTAGCTGCAACAGATTACTTCTCCAAGTGGGCTGAAGCCATACCTTTAAGGGAAGTAAAAAAGGAAACTGTTGTTCGTTTCATCAAGGAGCATATCATCCACCGATATGGGGTGCCTCGCTACATTATCACTGACAACGGAAAGCAGTTCTCCAACCGACTCGTGGACGAGCTTTGCGACAAATATAAGTTCAAGCAGTACAAGTCTTCCATGTATCATGCTCCGGCCAACGGCCTCGCAGAAGCATTCAACAAGACGCTGTGCAACCTCCTGAAAAAGGTAATCGGCCGAACAAAGAGAGACTGGCATGAAAGAATAAGTAAAGCACTTTGGGCATATAGGACTACACATAGGACTCCTACCCGAGCTACACCTTATTCTCTCGTATATGGCGTAGAAGCTGTTCTACCGCTCGAAAGTCAAATCCCCTCACTAAGGATAGCTATACAAGAAGGCTTGACTGATGAAGAAAATGCAAAGTTGCGCCTTCAGGAGTTGGAAGCGCTGGATGAGAGAAAGCTCGAAGCTCAACAACACTTGCAATGCTATCAAGCACGGTTATCCAAGGCATTCACAAGAAAATCCGCCCAAGGTCTTTCCAAGCCGGAGATCTCGTGCTGGCATTGCGTAGGCCTATCATTACAACTCATAAGACAAAAAGTAAGTTCACATCAAAGTGGGATGGACCTTACGTAATACAAGAGATCTACACCAATGGCGCCTATTTAATCATGGCAGAAGACGGGTTGAAGATCGGCCCCATCAATTGTAGATTTTTGAAGCGCTACTACCCCTAAAGCAAACGCACTACGCTCCTGGCCCGCAAGAGCATAAACTGTGTACGGCAAAATCATAATCAAAACCATCACTCATTTGAACTACGTCATGACTTGATCCCTCCTCAACCAAGGGTACGTAGGCAACTTGAAACTTCAAAACTTCAAGTACAGTCACATCAAAAAAAAAAAAAAAACACTTTAAAGAATAAAGAGCAAATTCAAGAATGCAAACATTTTATTTCTTTAAAGGAAAAAATCTGATTACAAAAGAGAGAGGGCAGAAGACACTACTCGAAAACTATGTCCTTAAAACTAAGGAGGCGGTCTTCAAGCAAACCTTCCAAAGCCTTCAAAGTCTCTACCTCGATGAGAGACAGGATGGGCAACTCCATAGCCATGTCTTTCTCTTGTTCTAGGCGTGAAATCTCCTCTTGGCATTGAGAAAGGGTAGCTCCCTGCTCCTCGAGAACACTTTCAAGTTTTGATGCCTCGATGCCCAGC